TAGTGAATAAAAACATCAAAATTAAAAAACAAACAAAAAAAATTTCACTGAATGACTTGTTACGACCATTTGGGGGAAAAATACTAAAACTCTGTGTAACTTTATAGCTATTAAAGACCGTACCTCTCACTCCAACCTGCCTCAAATGGTCTATCTTCAACTGAGCCAATGAGCAAGTCAAATCCTGAACCTACAGCGAAAGGAAGAGCACACGGTCAGCTCCACCAGGCATCAAATTTCCCATAATGACGGACCCCTTTCTGAGACCCTGGATTATTCTACAGACCCTCACGAACACAAACTCAATTCAACAAGAGCAAGAACCAGAAGCCAGAAAGAGGTTTTTGAATTGAAAAAAAAAACAAAAAACAAACAAACTGAAAACTAAGACTCAAGATGGTGGTAAAATTGAAAAACTGAAATTAAAGTGGTTTACAAACGAAACTTCAAATGGGAAATCAAGTTGAGGAAGACCGAGTGTCAACCAACAAACACAAATATCTATGATTACAAAACTATGCAAAGACAATGTGTGTCCGTGTGCATCTCACCCCTCCGTCGGGACAGGAAGCTCTATCGGTGTTCTTCACCGACTTCCTGTTTTTCCAATCTTTGGTCTTCCTCTGTGGCGTCTGCTCCACTTCGGGATGTGCTGTAGGCACCTCTATCCTAGAGTGGAATTGGTATTTTCCGCTCTCTGGGTCGAAGTAATAGTACATGCCTGTGTTAGCATCATAGTACAGCTGACTGGACTGGGGGAAGAGGAAAAAACACATTAACACAGGCGATTAAGATTACACATGCCGATTACACAAATAGCAGCAGTCAAACGTCCCGACAGAAGAACAACTTACAGAGTCGTAGTAAAATCCAGTGCTGTGGTCGTAGTACATGCCGGAACTTTCATCAAACACAAAGTTGGTCTGGTTCAATGCTTCCTCTGCTGTTGTTCTCAGCATGTCGGCTATAGAGCCGCCTTCTCCAGAGGCCTCCTGAGAACATGTTTACACAGTCGAGAAACTGGCTCATAATTATTACTTTAAATGATAATTATTTTTATTACTGGCCGTAAACTGCTCGTATTTGTTTAAGCTGAATGTATATATATA